TATTTCTCCTTAAAATGAATTTCCTCTAAATATTTAGTTATTTATTATGCATTCGATTGTTGTTTAGAGAGTGAGAGCACAGACTGACGGCTCACTGACTGACTGAACCATATTTTTGTGCTTTCAGTTCAATACAGTTCAATACAATTCAATAATTCTATTCAAATATTTTCTTTTATTTTATGTCTCGCTATTAAATTTATTTTCATCTTATAATCTATTACTGAATAATACTTAAATATCTATTATTTCATTTCAATTTATTTTCATATATTTTATTATCGCAACTTCTATTGTCGCTAATGTTTTTCAAGTGAGTTGAGAAAGTTTAGGTGAAATATATTGCTTTCATTAATATGTTTAATATATTTAATGAGAACTACTAATTAAGTCTAAGGCATATAATAAATGTTAAATTATCCGAAAACTTGCCAATAGTGTCTATCAATGTGTGTAAACTTCTGGCAAATATAAAGTCACGGCCTTGTGATCACTACATCAGTACTCGACATAAACTTAACTTTATTTGTCACTAAGATATGCAAATAATGTCAATATTTGAGGCTATGGTTAGTGTTCTAGTTATTCAATTCTGACTTATATTATATGAACACTACTTCTAAGAGAATACTTTTATATGTTTGCCGTGAAAATTGCTTCACTTATCACTAGTACTATTGATAATATTTTACAAGCAGTCCATTCAATAGTCAACACAAATACCGATTCTGTGGTCGAGATAGAGATACAGTTGAAAACAGATTTTAATTTTAATATACAATCGAAACTATTTATAAATTCTATCCCTTTATCGTTATCCCCGTTATGAGGCTGTGAATTGAAAAAATAACGTATTTTCAATTCACAAATAATATTCTGTTCATATAAATGACATTTCATTTGATTTTGGGTTGTTATCGACATTTGTAGGGTTTGTCTGTAAGTGTATGCGATATAAAAATGTTGTGAGACTCAGAGTTATCATTTGGTAAACAGAGTTAACATTGACTCTGAGCTTGAATTGCTTTTCAATGTTTTCCACAAAAAATAGGGATAACGGATGCCAACCTACTATACTCTCTCTCTCTCTCTCTCTCTCTCTCTCTCTCTCTCTCCAGCACTTTATTATTAGCATTTGGCTTTCGATAAGATAATAGTTTTAGACAATTGTTGTGTATTCAGTGCCATAACTGTTACATACCTCTTATACCCATAGAATATTCTGTTGAGTAGTTTTTCCTTTAAGAATATATCGCAGAATATTCTTTTGGCACAAAAAACTATATATACTATGAGAGAGAGAGAGAGAGAGAGAGATATCTGTATAAAAATCTACAGAATATGCAAAATAGACGATAGGAATGGCAGTCGGAAAGGCATCTAAAAAAAGTCAAATGCAGTTATTTTTTATGGGAGACACAAAACAACACGGCTTTTGGGCATAAATATTATATGCTCTCTCTCTCTCTCTCTCTCTCTCTCTCCAGCACTTTATTATTAGCATTTGGCTTTCGATAAGATAATAGTTTTAGACAATTGTTGTGTATTCAGTGCCATAACTGTTACATAAATTGGACCTCTCATTAATTTTATGCTTTTCACATATAATTTATAGGTATATAACAGTAATAACTTGTTGTGTTGTTGTGAATGCTTTTCATATTATTTGTCTACTAATACACCATTCGTTTAGGACTTTAACCTCATCAGCAAATAAAACAGTCAGTTATATAATCAGTTTAACAAATCAGACATATTTTTCTGCTTTAAACCAACAATTTCTCACAAAAACTCTCAAAACTCTCTCTACTCTCCACTCTATGTCTCCAATAAGAAACTCAAATATTCCTCTTTAGTCTATTTCTTTACCAAAACTCTTGAATCGATTTTTATCTCATTGTCTCTTGTTTATTAGACATAAAACTTAATAAAAAAGATTTTTAAAAGCTCTCCAAAAGTAATTTGATAGGAGTTATTAAAATTTAATACATTCTAACGTTGCGTATCATGCCCGCCATACAGTAGTCATACTCTCATACTCTTTGAGCATTATAATCTTAATTTTTTTTTATAATTTTCTTATATGCCTTCCAATGACTTTAAAATAAATATTCAAATGTCAGAGAAAGTCATTATTATATTTTTTATTTGCGAAAACAATTCATTCATTTACATAATAATCCATTAAAAGACTAGAGAGAGAGAGAGAGAGAGAGAGAGAGAGAGAGAGAGAGACACGAGAGATGAGTTGCGAGTCATACAACTTATTCTGTAATATTCAGTGCATAAAGGTTTCAAAGACTCGTAAATATGGTTTCGTTTCAAAGGCTTAATGTTATCCTGTTGAGTACAACTTTACAGGATTTGGTGCTAAAGGCTATGAGAAAACTGTATTCAGCTTTAATTGAATGCTTGCAAAAGAGTTTGTATTACAGTTACTGCTGTACTGTATGTGCACTGAAAATATGCCTTAAGAGCTTACTCTTCATTTTCTAGCCTTTCTTTCAAATTTTATGTCAAATGTAATCAATTTTTTGAGGGCCTTTTCTTTGATATTGTTTTTGTGTAATGTTATGAATAATTAATTCATAATGAATTTTTATGAATACGGCTTATTATGTAAGCATTCATTGAAATAACGAGACATTATATAATATTCATAAGGAATGGCAGAAAGCATTGAAATATGTTTTTTGTGAATATGTGTATACAGTATCTGTTGACTGGTCTTGAAATGCAAGCCATGAGTGAATGGAGTGTATGGAGTGTATGGCTGTCCGTATGGACGTATGGATGGAGTGGTGCGACACTAATTCAGTGTTTGCTGTCGTCCCCACATATCCACAATTCCCTCCAAACTATTTCCCAACATTTGCACAAATATTGCATATTATAGAAGCGGCCGCTTATCGTCGCAGTGGACGACATGCCGTTCCCTTGTGGTGCTGTACCTCAAAGAATGTCCAAAGGTTTAAAAATATGCCTTAAGAGCTTACTCTTCATTTTCTAGCCTTTCTTTCAAATTTTATGTCAAATGTAATCAATTTTTTGAGGGCCTTTTCTTTGATATTGTTTTTGTGTAATGTTATGAATAATTAATTAATAATGAATTTTTATGAATACGGCTTATTATGTAAGCATTCATTGAAATAACGAGACATTATATAATATTCATAAGGAATGGCAGAAAGCATTGAAATATGTTTTTTGTGAATATGTGTATACAGACTGTATAATACAGTATCTGTTGACTGGTCTTGAAATGCAAGCCATGAGTGAATGGAGTGTATGGAGTGTATGGAGTGTATGGAGTGTATGGAGTGTATGGCTGTCCGTATGGACGTATGGATGGAGTGGTGCGACACTAATTCAGTGTTTGCTGTCGTCCCCACATATCCACGATTCCCTCCAAACTATTTCCCAACATTTGCACAAATATTGCATATTATAGAAGCGGCCGCTTATCGTCGCAGTGGACGACATGCCGTTCCCTTGTGGTGCTGTACCTCAAAGAATGTCCAAAGGTTTCTGAGAGACAGTGAAAAACACTTGAATATCAGTGCCACTAAACCGGGGAAACAGTGATAAGGGGCGCAATTGGGGGCTGTTGTGTGAAATGATTGTAATATATTTACGAAATAGGGATCAGATGGTGAAGAAAGTCTCAATTGAAAGAGAAAGTGGTGTACAGTCTCTGCAAATGGTGTTTCCCTTGCTAAAAAGCCAAAGGAAATACTTTTTTGAGGGGAACTGATAGGGGGTGATAGGGGTGGTTACGGCAAGGTTTAGGCCAGTCGTATACAACTCGGTCTTCCAGACCTTGATCTTCATTGAAAGGGAAATCTTTTGCACACATTATAACACATAACCATCTTTTTGGGTGACATAACAATAGACCAGTCGAGACATGGATGACGGCCAATGTGTGCCAGACTTTAGGCTTTTCTGACAGCTTTTTGTGCGATTGACCTGATTTTGGATTCCCTTTCAATTCACGTTTATATCAAATACGAGACAAACTTAAGAAAAAAGTAAAGAAATACTGTCTAAACCCCGCTCTGCCTCTGCTTTTGCCTCACCCTAACATACATCCAATATATGACTGTATGACTGAATCATTTTTTCCATTTTTCCATCATTTTATGCAACCTTGAAGTCTCTCTCTCTCTCTCTCCCGTATGTAACCTCATGTGAGTCTTCAAGTGGTGATCGCGAGTAAATCTCTTATGGCATTCCCGGCACTCAAAAGTCTCTCTCTCTCTCTCTCTCTCTCCTTCTCTCTCTCTCTCTCTCTCTCTCTCTCTCTGCTCTGGTACCGCTTACACGGTCCTAGCATTTAATGTCTGATACTATTGGGTTAACTCCCCCTGCAATTGGATGTATCCACTACTGGTTCCCTACAAGACAATCCGCCTCTACTACTCTACTCCACTCTACTCGACAATCACTGCCGTTATAGAGGAGAGCGTCGATTGATTTGAATGAACGATACACTCATTCCTTAATAGTTCCTCAAAGATGTGAAGCAAAAAAAGTTCCTAAAAAACTCAAAATATTTTTTATACATTTGTTAATTATTTTTCAATTATTTCCTATAGAAGTGTAGAAATTTATGCAAAGATCAAAAACGAGAATGTGATCAATAGATTGTTATTAGTTTTTTCAATTATTATTCAAATTGTGTCTCATTTGCTGGAAAAGTGTTTGCAAATCAATGTATATGTTGTTTATGTGTTTCAAAGCAGTAAATCAAATACAATAACCGTATTTACTCTATACTCCAACCTTTACTTATCTAATGATTATTCGAGTTTAGTATTGAATTGATTTTCTTTCTCTTCACTCTTCATAAGCGCTCAAAACTGTCGACAATATATTTGATACAAACTTTATATACGATATATTCACTCATAACTGAGACAATGATTGCTAACCATATTATGGTGTGTATTGGTGGACAGGTTGGGTGGGCCCGCACTTGTATCGGGTACTGACGGAGGATGAAAGAAGAAGGCGATGCGTTGAGCAACGATGCCATCGATCATCAGTCACACCAGTCGTCGACAGAGACATCGATAACCACTTCGATTAAAGTGGAATCCGTTTCCTCGAACTCGACGTCCAACTCGAAAGTGACGAGTTCTACGAACGGCACCGGGAGTGGTGTTAGTGTTAGTGTCATATCATCACCACTTCGTCGGCCCAAAACGTCAGTCCTGGAAGCGGTGGATCTGGTCCGGGCCCAGCTGTACGGCAATGCACTGGTCACGATCGGCACGGACTTAGCAGCGGCTGCGGCGGCCGCCGCCTCAGGGATGCCGTTCTCGATGCCCGGCTCCGAACAGAACAGGTTTCTCATGCAAGAGTTGGCGAACGTGGCCGCGAGGAACGCCCTCTCCGGCGCCAACAGCACGCACTCAAAGTCCAGTTCCGACGGATCCAACAGTGCGTCGCCGCTGTCCCTGAGTCTGGGCGTCAGCTCTAAACCCGGACCCAAACCCCGCGCCGCCGACTCGCCCGGCAGTGGCTCGACGACCAGTACGACGACAGGTCAGGGACGGGACAAAGTGTTTGTGTGTCAGGTCTGTAACCGGTGTTTCGGGTATAAACATGTGCTTCAAAACCACGAGCGGACGCATACCGGGGAGAAGCCGTTTGAGTGCCGGGAATGCCATAAGAGGTTTACTCGCGATCACCACTTGAAGACTCACATGAGGTTACATACGGGAGAGAAGCCGTACCACTGCACCCATTGCGAGAGACAGTTCGTGCAGGTGGCCAACCTTAGGAGACACCTACGGGTGCACACCGGCGAACGGCCCTACGCTTGTGAACTGTGTACCAGTCGTTTCTCGGACTCCAACCAATTGAAGGCTCATATGTTGATACATAAGGGCGAGAAGCCGTTCGAGTGCAAGAAGTGCCTGGGTAGGTTCAGGAGGAGACACCACCTCATGCACCACAAGTGCCCGAAGGACGAGGCGAATATTGGCAAACCCAGACGCGGCCGACGCCCCAAAGCCTACGACGCTCTCATCTCTCCCGGTGTCGCTCTGTTGCGCACCGCGTCCGCAGACGAGACCCATCTGCCGGTTGTGGCCACCGCTGCCACAGTCTCGTCCTCGACGGCCGCCCTGTCCGCGGCCGCCACTTCCAGTTCCTTCTATCATCACATAACACCATCAGTGCCACAGGCGCCGCCTCCAGTCGCCCATATAGGGGGCGGTCTGCTCGAGTCGTCGGGTCCGTCGAAATCGCGCCGAAAGCCCCGGCAAACGATCCGTATATTAACGCCACAGCACCGGGAGATGTTTCTCACGGATCACGACTCCATTCAGACACAACCCCTCAATCTTTCGCTCTCGCCTTCACTTCAGGGACCGACAACTCTGCCGACAGGACTCATGTACTACACGACGACTGCCAGCGCCGATGTGCTCGACCTCTCCCGGTCTCGGAGCGACGACTCGGAGGCCGAACCCATTGAGGAGGAGGTGGACGACGAAGACGATGAGGACGACCCCTACATCTGCGATCCCTACCATCGCAGGCGTATTCACGAGAACAGTTCCAGTGATAACAATGGCAACGGAGGTATGGATGCGGACACTGATCACGAAGAGAACGGCAACAACGGAGCCATTCCTCTGACTAAACCTAAGACCACGTCGTGTTAAGAGAGAAAGTGATTCAATGAAAAACATAACTCAAGATAAGTAACGGTTATATCATATAAAGACAAACAGTTTATCCCTCTCTTTGTGTTCACACAAATCAAACCCACAATTGATTCAACATTTTTGTGTCTTTCAAAACACGTTTGGAAACAATTGATTGTTTCTTTAAGACTAAAACTAAATGACAAACAAAATAATATAAACTTTTTTTTCTGTTTCCTGATCACAAAATTCCTAATTTTAAGACTTCTGACAAAAATGACAATATTTTATGTTATGTTTGCGTTATATTATTGAATCACTTAATGCGACTAAACAAATGAAAACGATATTAATTTATTGAATAATTAATTTCTAATCGTAACGAAATACCTCATACAATATCTAGTGTTAAAACAATTTATAAATTGAATTGAAGAGCATTTTTTGATAAATTGAAACCAAATGCTCTGAAATACACACACAAACAGCAGCTCTGATATAATATACGATTATATATATCATCTCAAAGTCGGTTCTCTGTGTATAAAAAAGAAATATTGATTGAAATGAAGTGACGAAACAAACACTACTATTATTTTGATTCCCTTTTGATTGTGTAAAGTGTTTAACAAATGTTTAGAAAAGATTTTTTGTTATATTTCTCTTCATATATAATAGAAATGTTTTAAAATGAATGAAAGGCTCAGAATTGGTTTGGTTTTGCGCACAAATCATACAAAATGCGAGAATTACCTCAATTTGCGTTTAAATTAGTGTTTTTTGAATTACATTTAATACTTATTTTGTTTTAATTTATTGTTTTGATAATTATTTTATTTCGTATACATTCGACCACATAGTTTCATAATTTTAGTACAAATTTATGTGTTCTCTATATATACTGTGTTTTATTTAAACGGATCTCAAATTCTCAGAATGTATTACAAGAATAGTTTGAAATTAAAGAAAAGTTATCCGAAAGTCAGGTATAGTTTATACGAAACACTTACCAATCAAAGCGAATCACACCATAACTAAGGGATCAAAGAGTAGTCACTAAAAGCCAATAAATACCTCAAAAGAGCACTCTTTTAAGAGTGAGACTAAGAATATAAGTTTAAGTCTTAAAGGCTATCATCAGAAATACCGACAGCTTTAAAAAGCTTATAAAAACTTAATTAAATGGTTATTCATTGACACCTGGACATTTATGTCTCAATGAATTCGTAAACTTTAAACAATAACTGCTTTCTATCGAAAAATACAAAAATATTCATGAAATTCGTGAAGAATTGATTGAATGCTAAGAGATAAACGATAGAAAGGGTTATTGACAACTGAAACTGACATCAAACTGCAAAACTAGTTCCTCTTTTAATGTTTTTCAAAAAATATTTCCACTCAAAATATGTTTCATTCAAAATAATTATTAGAGATTAAAGTGAAAAATAGTAAAATAATTCAAAGATTAATCAATTGTTACAAACAATTTTTTGTCTAAAGAAGATTTATTTGCGGCGCAATGTTATGATAAATATATTATGTATTAATGTATAAAATATTGAAAACGACAAACGTTTTTCAATTAATTAATTATATGAAATTGATACAAAATTGTACATTATTTCCAAATTTAAAACAAATAAGTTATTATTATTATTAACTATTATTATTATTATTATTAACTATTAATTATTGATATATACCTTCATATTAATTATATATTTCCTTATTTTGAAAGAGACATTAATGAATGTACTGTTTCTGTCGAGTCTCTGTTTTTCCTTCAATTGTTTTAATTTAAAAAATTTTATTTGTGACCAGAAATCAAATTTCAAAACAAACAAAACATGACTAAACACTATTAGTTGAATATATTTATACAGAATATAATTCCATCATTAATACTGAAACTCAACTAATAATCAATTAACCATATATTCAAACCACTAATGAAAGTGTTTTGACTTATCAAATATGAAAGATTTTTTGTGTTTTGCTGCCAAAAATCAAAACAAAACGGGTTTTTGTCAAAAGTTTTTTCCATATTATTGTTACAAATGAGATAAAGTTGTGGAAAAAGCTTTTATCTGAAGATATCATCCATTAATATAAATACGACTTTTTATAATAAGCATTAATTATATTTATATTATTATTATTATTTTATTTTCTTTGAAAATTTTTAAAGCATTTCTTTTTTCAATTAACAGTTCCTTCAAAACAGTTATCTTTTTTGACGCAATTTCTATATTAATATTATTATTGATTTTGATTTATAATTATAACTAAAACTATGGTTTATGGTTCCTCTCAATAGGTTTATTAGTGCACATTGTATTGTACAACAAATTCATTGTATTCAACCAATTTATATATGAAAATCTGTTTTTAAGCAATTAAACAATTATTTTTAACAAAACGCTTATTTACTGAACCTTTACTCTAAACGTATATCAATCCCAAGCATTGAGTAAACATTTTTTAATACTAACCATTAAATCAGGAAAATTTCTCCCAATTTTGAGTAGAAATAAATCCTTCGTTTATAATGAAAAAAGTTTTTGAGAATTTGATTTTCAATCCCGAAATATGAACACAAAAAACAATAATCTATTCCATGATATAAAAGCATACACTCAAAGAAATGCCACTTTTTGTAGCCGTCCTTCGAAAGGGCTTTAACTTAAACGCGAAAAACAATTTTTCCTTAAAAAATGAAAAACAATTATTTGTTTTTCACTTTTCTTTTTTTTACTTTTCTTTTTGTTTATTTGCAGAAAATTCCCGAAAAATGTTTGAAAATGAAATAGAAAGCAAAGAATTGAGTTCTTTATATACAAGTGTAAAGTGAATACGAAAAAGTGGTCAAAAATATAGTACAGTATATGAAAAGTATTGATAGACTAGAGTGGAAGTGACGGGAGTTAGAGGGGAAGTAAAGGGCCGGCAGTTTGAAAGTCTTGTAAACAGCAAAACAGGCGATTGTTGTCTCTGTTGTGCCGTTCAATGAATAACTCAATCCTCGGACTCCAATCCCTTAGCAAAGTCTGTCTCACAAGCAATGCATTCAATACACAATTGTTGTCCAACACTACACAACACACAACAAAAAATAGTTGCGTCGATATTGGGTCAGACCAGACATAACATGTTTTTTCGCACGTAAATCAATAAACAAGACCTGAAAATGCATAACCAGACTAACACTAACCCAGTTTCCAACGAGAACTCAGTGCGCGTATTGTTGTTTACTTCTGATATTAAAAATTTTTGTGTCAAAAATAGGGTAAACTCTCTCCCAGTCCTCTCCCATCCTCTCCCACCGGCGCACTCCTATCGCAGATGTCTAACGATTTTTCATATTTTTATTTAAAGACATTTCTGAATAGTATTGAAAACTATATTGTGTTCACAAAACTAATGATTACGATTTGATAACTCAATGTTCAGTCCTTAAGATGTTTTGATTAGCATTTGTTATTGTGATAACATTGATCCCTTATTTTTCAAGAGATTTTTAGTTTTTGGGCAAAACTGCTTGTATTAGTGTAGACCTATACAACAGATGACCCGGACTTACAACAAGACTACCTCATTATATACACAATTGAATTCATATAATTCAACTGAAAAATTAGTCAAATTTGTTTCAATACACAAAAAGAAAGTGTTTTTTAAGTTTTACAAATGCATGTAATAAAAGGTCACTCGTATTGATGTCCCATTGGAACCCAATTTCAAAATATTTATGTCTTTTATAACTTTAGTTTCGATTTTTATTTTCTGTTTTTTAGTATATTTTGTTTTTTATATTTTATTATCTTATATAAGAGATAGTAATTATATATATTATATAACTATAAAGTAAACCAAACTCAGGCAAACAAAGCTCAGGAATGTGTCGACTAAATCATCAAACATTTGTAAATTGTATATAAAATTTAAGAAATATTAACTAATGATTATAACTCTTTGATTACATTCATCTTTTACTAAATGTACAATTTTTCACATTAATGTTATTGAAATATTATTATTGAGAAATTGTTTTATATTGTTCTGAATCTTTTCACACAAACACTTCTCTCTATTTAACAATGGCTTGAATTTATTTTCTCAACAGAATACAAATATAATGACTTTTAAACCATGTCTTCAATATTTTCATATATCAATAAAATTGAGTTTATTTTCAAATTATTTTTTGTTAGTTTATTACGAAAAAACTACTTAAGTACCCTTAAAATATATGTAAATTTTGAAAACATATTAGTCTAAGCCTTATGTTGAGTAATGATTGAGATGCGAGTTATTATCACTTACTTTTAGAGGAGATCTTATTTTTGAGAACAAAATCGATAGGAATTTAATTAGAAAAAACTTTTTTCGTAACGATAGAGTTATGGCTACACATTAGAAAAGGGAGAGAAAAACTACACCAAAAACAGTATTGCATTTATAATATGTACTTTAGGAGCCCTTTTAGTAATATATCAATCGATCAAGGTTTTACGCTATACTGACAGCGACTCAAAATTTCAGTAATGAATTAACTGTTTTTAAGGCAAATGTTTAGTCGCTTTAGTCTCCCATTCCTTTGGAGTGAATTTCGTGCCGACGAACAGAATATATATTAAAACAACAATTTCTCTCCTCTTTCCTATCTATTCATCATTGAGTCCTTCAGTCTCTCAGTCTTTCTATTGAATGAATTTTTTTAATTAATTCCAAACCGTTTGACAACTCGTGTAAGGGTTTAGGGTTAGGGATCCTCGCTATCGCCACACATATATCACACAAAAGCTAATAGTTTTTGGCTTTAATTGAAAGCACATAAACTCGCAAATAATTTGCTTTTCTCTCTATCATTTTATCGACTAATTATAATTAACTGAACAAAAAATTTCTATCACTTTATATGTGAAATGAAACAAAAGTTTATTTTGTCAATAAATTGTGCTTTATTATTTTTCATAAAAAACTACCAGAGATTTGAATACATGTTTTAATAAGTC